GTCTCGGCAGGGAGCAAGGAGTGTGCCCCCGTGCTAAATAAACTGCTGCCTTTCAAAGCCGTGGCGGCGATTGCTTAAAGATGGTTTTCCCATGGGAGCTGCTAACACCAGCGCCTGCCGCAGGGATACCGCGAGTCTGGGAGCAAGCCTCTACCTTCTGCTTAGAGCTTTCCACTTCAGCCCAGCAGGACAGAAGCAGTGCCTTGCAGACGCCCAGGGTTCCCCTGCAAAGCCTCCAAGGAGCAGTTTTCTCTCTCGTGTTTCACGGATGCCCTGCATCAGTCCATGTGTACACGCTGCTTGGAGTCACAGCTCTCAATAGGCGGGTGAAAGGCTTTCCAGTTGTATCCCAGATATAGCCTGGACAGAGGTAGTATCTGGAGGAGACCATACTGAAATGGACAGGCTTGGAAACCTGAGAGCTCAGCATGCTAAGTTTAGGGTGCCTCCTCCACATTCCTAAATGGTGAAATGCATATCCCAGATTTTTACTCTGGATTGGGTTGTAAGCCTACACTTCCCTCACTGCACCGCTGATGCTAGAAGCAAAACCAGAACCAAACCAGAAATCTCAGTAGATTTCAAGCAAATGTCCTCCTCCTATCCTCCCAGCTCCGGCTGGTCTAGCCTGCAGCTTAGGGGGACTGTACGCTATGGGGTTGTAAATGGAGGCAGTTCTTCCCTCCTGCTTCCCTGGCCTATGCTCAGCTCTTCCTCTGAGTAAGATGAGATATAATGTCACTCTGGGACCCGTCCACTGAGGACAAAACATCCTTGCTGTCTTTAGTCTTTACTTAGCTGATTGTTTTGCATGTGATCTGCCCTGCTGCTGGGACAAAACCAGCAAGTATTGAAGACATTACTCCAGGCCCAGCCTCTGGAGACACAGTTTCCAGCTGAGGGACTGGCTGTTTTCCATGTTCTTTTAGGTGAAATCCCCCAGGGCCTTGAAATCACAGAACAAAGCAATTAGCTTAGCACAATTTATTACAAATGATAGTGCAGGCTACAAAAACAGTGAAGAACCCTAGAAAGGATCAAGAGAAATGCCTGTCAGCTGAGAGGCCAGAGTCCAAGTGAATTTCTGAGCCAAAAAATCATCAGGAAAAAAAAGAAAAATAGCATGTCACAAATGCTGTATGTTTCCCTTTAGAAGTCATAGTTTGTTTCTTTACCTGCAACGCACCAGATCAGACATTTGAAAAAAGTGTAGCTTTCTAATGCCAATTCCAGAAGCAAAGAATTTAAGAAAAATCAGTAAATACTTTGTCTACACAAGCATTGCCAAGACTCCCATCACTTACGTCCTCACTTATTAAATTTTTCCAGTAAACCTTAATTAATCAAATGCATATCTCATCTAGAAGTTATTTGAACCAATCTAAACTCTAAGAAAAGGGTCAAGTTTACAAAGAAGACTGGAACAGAGATCCTTAGGGTCTCTAGATTTCTGTTGACAGCTCTGTGCGTCAGTAAGCAAATCCCTGCCTTGTTCTGCCTTGCTGTCTGTCTCTGGCATAGTTTCTGTGCATTTTCCAGAGGTGGAGACATGCATGCCTGGTGTGCCATGTGATCTATGGAAGGAAGGAGAAATATGAATTATGGTTTATATAGAGACATGTGTGAATACCAGTTTCCTGTGGGAAGAAAAGACTGTAACACGACAAAGCAAGCATCCTATTTTGCACAAAGTTGCACCCTGCACAGGTTTCCCCTGTTCAGGGAGGAGGCAGTCCTTCCCTAGTGAAACAAATTCTGCATGTGGTTTCGGTTCCCTTGTTTTGTTCCCCAGGGCTACATTTCTGCACTGGCAACTGCTGAGAGCCTGACAGCCTCTCTAGATAGCTTATATATTTCTGGAAAAAAAAGCTAGAGAAATGAGGATGGTTGCTAAATGTGCTTCCAATCTCAAAGCTGGTTGATGGTTCTGACCTCAGGGCTGGGGCTGCAGCACAACATGTGGATGCAGCTTGCTCAGGATTGAATCTGACTGGCTGGGTTTTGTGTCCTGGGCACAGATTTGGGGGCATAGTCCTTCTCTCATTGGCTTCAGGAAAGAAGCCTTCCCCCATCCCAGCAGTTAAAAGGGAAGGCAAAGAGGTTGGGTTTATTTCCTGGAGTAAACTGCACACATTGACCATGGCATCTGAAAAGGTGAGAGCTTGGACAGGGGGGAGGTGTCCAGAAATGCTGCCTCGGTGCCAGAGTTCAGGTAGAGGTAAATTGTCTGTCCTCTTGGTCTTCATCTCAATCAGCAGAAGCTCTTCTTGTTTGGAGAGAGGCCTGGCCCTGCCCTGCATGGCTGGAAAAGCTATTTCATGCCACACAAATACCCGGTGCAGGTGCTTGGCACAATCAGTGGGGAATTTGTTTCAAAAATCTAAGATGGGATAGAAGCTAGCAACATCTGATAGGGACAAAGACAGAAGCTTTGCAGGGGTTCATTTTAAGGTGATGAGTGCATTGCTGGAAACTTTGGGTCCAACTAAATATTCGGAGGGCCAGCATGAAAGACAGTGACACAGAACAGTGGCTTTCAGAAAGAAGCCCCCTCTTCCCCAGATGCTGCTCTTCCCTGTCTTACAGTTCCTGAAATGCTTGCTGTTCATGCATTGTTCTCCTTAGGGTGCTGTGGTGTTCCCACCAGGTAACCACCTTCTCTCTTTCTCCTCTCAGCCGATACTTTATAGCTATTTCCGAAGTTCCTGCTCTTGGAGAGTGAGAATTGGTAAGATGTGCTGTTGATCTCTCTTTTGTTGTCTTGTCCTTATTGCAGGATCCTCCCCTTCACTAACCCAATTAATCAGTCACTTATTAAGAGTGAGATCAGCAAACATGAACTTGGGACAGCTGGGCATTTCCCAGGTGGGAGGGATGGGAATGCCACAGCTTACCAGAAGCAGGGGGAAGGGAGAGGAACAGACAGGAGGGCTTTGCTTGACCTGCAGTGAGCCACAGGGAACTACTCCTTTCACCCAGCTAACGTGATGCAGGCAGCTGTTTCTTCCACATTACCTAGAGGGGCCCTACACTTTTTCGACACAGACACTGCCTCAGACTCTGGTCTGCCCAGGTCCTGAGAGCTACGCAGGGCTGGGAATGGTCTCTACTTGTGCTCTACTTGCCTCAAGCAAGGTTTTGCAGTGAGCACAGGGCCCCCTGCCCTCCATAAGCCAAATCAGGAGGGGCTGTGCTGCGAGGAGTGGCAAAGCTCATTTTGAAAAATGCAGTGGTTTTGCCAAGATGGATCTTTAGTTCTTTGGTCCTTCATTTGCCAGAGCACTACCTTCTCGGTGGGATCAGACCACCTGTCTTGAGGGATTAGGTATTTTTTTTTTTGTTTTAAAGTCTTTCTTTCTTCAAATGGAGATGGTAAGGTTCCTCTGAGCCCATTACCAATGAAACTGGTCTCCATGTGCCTGTCTGAAGCTGTACTCTCTGCTCTCCCTAGCATTGGCTCTGAAAGGGATTTCCTATGACCTGGTGCCAGTGAACCTCCTGAAGGATGGGGGGCAGCAGGTAAGGATACAGCTACCATTGCTCTTTCCAAGGGTACTGAACTTGGGGATAATTAGGAGAACTGGGATTAGAAAGTTTACAAGCAAAGTCAAGGAATTCCTCACTGCTTCTCTGTAATAGTTGCTTTCAGCCAGTATTCCCTGGCATGCAAGGAAGAAGCAGAAGATGACTGCAGGAGACAAGAAGTTTTTTTCTGGCCCTGGATGCAGTGATCCCTGAGCTGTAGTCCAGCATAATTTACTGCAAATTCTACTACTGAGGTAGAGGGGAAAACCAGGTTAAATAATAATAATAATTTGGTAACTTGAGTTATAGGGGAAGAAAAAACAAGGAAGAAGAATTTCTTGTTGCAGTAGAGTAATCTCAGGTTTGTTTCCACAGTTTTCTGCTGAATTCAAGGCAGTGAATCCAATGCAGCAAGTCCCAGCCTTGAAAATCGATGGCATCACCCTTTCTCAGTCTGTGAGTCACCAGCCACATCCCTGTTAACCATTCACTCCAGCCTGCTGCCCAGTCTGGAGGGTATGGCTTTGCCCCATTCTTTCCCCCAGAGCTCTCATCTGTGTATTGGACAAGAGATGGCATTTGCAGGAAATAATCTCACTTGGGGGCAGAAATAGCACATAGCCTCTGCTGGGAAACTGCTGTCAAGGATTTCAGCTTAATTCAGCTTTAGTTTATAACTCCAGCCTTCACTGAGCAGCTTCTGGTCTGACCTGGGTGACTGTGCCAGGGTTTGCCTGAAATTAAAGCTGGGTTAAATGACAAGTCCCAAGCAGACATCAAAGGGGATATTCTGTTGCTTGGATTGTTAAACTTCATTCAAATGCTGTTGCATTCTCTTGGATCAGCTCCTGTTTCCCAGATGTTCAGGATGTGAACTTTTCCTTGGCTCTCCCATAATCTCCCCTTATCTCTGTTCATTACAGCTAGCTATACTTCATTACTTAGAAGACACCCGTCCCAACCCCAGGCTCCTGCCCCAAGATCCGAAGAAGAGAGCCCAAGTCAGAATGATTGCTGATCACATTGTCTCTGGCATTCAGCCACTCCAGGTATTGCCTTGTCATATCCATGCAAACCAGAAAACCAGGATGAGTTTCTAGGAGTCTGTATTTCTGAAAAGCTCAGTGTCTAAGTTGCTGCCAGCTGACAGAATGGTAAGCCTGTGTGTTAGCAGGTGCAATCTCTCCTTAGCCTCTGCCTGATCCACCAGTGGCAACAATACAGTATTTTCCTACAAAGAAAATCCTGTAGCACCCCCCAGGGTTCTTTCCTGAAACAGCTGAACCCAAACAGTTTCACTGCTGGGTCTAGGATGTTTTAGGAAGAAGACAGTTGAGGAACCCAGAGGGCAGAGGCAGAGGGATACCCTGGCAGCTGTTACAGGAGGCCAGTCCCAAGCGAAGGAGACAGCAGAGCGCGTGATTCGGTGAGGGTGAGGTCAGGGCTGACCCAGCAGGCTGGACTCGGGCTGGGGTTCCAGCATGGCAACTCTTTATCTCCCCTCTCCTCCACTGGATGAGGCAGTGGGCAAGATCCAGCCAGCAGCAGTCAGTCTAACCTGGAGATTGCTTGCCTTTGCAGAACCTGAGTGTCCTGAAACAAATGGGGGAGAAAAAAATGGAATGGGCTCAGAACTGCATTGCATCTGGCTTTCAAGGTGCGTCCCACATCCAAAATAATCTTCGCCTCAACTGACCCTTCAAAATGCTGCACCGGTGGGGTCCTACTTTCCTCTTCAAGCAGAAGAACATATCTCCCTAGGCTGGTGTGCTGAGTCTTTTCCTGCTGGCATAGGAAGTGCTTTTCCTGCCCAGAGTCCTTTAGCCAGGACTGGTGGCTCTCCAGGGTCTCAGAGGAAAGATGCTGTCCCCAGGGTGCTTCTGCTGCTGCCTGTGGAAGAGGGGAAGCCTGGGGCCATCCAGTACACTGCAGCAGTTGATTCACCCTGAAGGATGAGGTCTGACAGCACTTCTTTATACCCAGCTGCTCCCAAACTAGTGTCTTTTGCTTTACAGTTCTATCGATCTATATTTATATGCTTTTGTAATCATGGAATCACAGACTGGTTTGGGTTGGAAGGGCCTTTCAAAGTCATCTAGGCCAAACCCCCTGCAGTGAGCAGGGACAACTGCAAGGAGATCAGGTTGCTCAGAGCCCTGTCCAACCTGACCTGGCATGTTTCCAGGAATGGGGCATCGACCATCTCTGGGCAACCTGGGCCAGTGTCCCACCACTCTCAGTGTACAAAGCTTCTTCCTTCTATCTAGTATAAACTTCCCCTTTTTTAGCTTAAAAGCATCACCCCTTGTCCTGCTACCACAAGCCCTGCTAAAAAGTCTGTCCCCATCTTTCATGGCAAAAGCAGGGGATCAGAAGGGAAATAAATCTCAATAAATAACAAGAGAAGGGAAGAAAGAGCGGCAGCTGTGCAAGGCCAGGGAAGGGCACGTCTGTGGGTGTCAGCTGCCACACGAGTCCCCACACAGCCCAGCTGCAGCCACAGCCCGCAGCCGGCCCAGCTGGGGCACCCCCTGCTCTGTGTGCCCTGCCAGGGATGGGCCATCAGACCAAAGGGAGCTGATGGCAAACTCTCACAGAATCCAGCAAGCAGCAGAGTATTTCTTTACCCCCTTGAGAGAAATAGGGTGCCTCCTATTTCCTCAAAACCCCTTCCACCATGAGCTGGAATGGCAGTCCCATGGTCACTTCTGGGCAGACACAAACTGACTGAACATTTGCATTTCTCCCCACTCACATATCTCTGCACTGTCCTCTTAGTATTTCAGGTGCATTACATGAACCAGATGAAATCACCCTGGATCACAAAAAGCTGATGGACCCTAAAGACACCAATAACTATGCTGTTTTAAGATTTTGGTTCCTTCTAGGTTCCGTCCCAAATTGCTCCTTTTTCATACTCGCCTCAGGGTCAAAATGCCCTTGTTCATAATTCCCAGTCTGAAAGGTCTTTGGTGTCCCTTTGGAATGAGTTGCCAATGCCTCACTCCAGTGTACCACCTCTCTTGACAGCGCTGGAGCAGACTCTGCAGCACACTGCTGGCCGCTACTCTGTGGGGGATGAAGTAAGTATCCGAGAGAGTGTTGTGTACCACTGGAGAGCTGCAAACTCCAGTAGATTCCATAAAACAGGAAAGGAAATCAGTTGTGGAGACATGGCACAACCCCATCCCGTGTCTGGAGTCCAGGCAGTGCCTTCACCAGAAGAAAAACAGCTGCATGAATCCTACTTAGGCCATTACTGACTTGCAAATAGTTATGGAGATTTTTACTTGTCTGCCTATAACCTGCTGATGGCCAGACTCTGCAGCTCTGTCTAGGAACTGGCTGCTACTGGGGGGTATGGGAATAGATTATACGTATTTAATCTTTAAGAGATTTGAAGCTCAAAATGTCCTTTCATAGGGACAAAGCTTGGCTCAAGAAACAGATACAGTTGTTAGCTCTGCTCTGTGGGACCTTTAGCCAAGTTCTATTTTTTTGCTCTGTTTGTCCAATTTTAACATGGACAGGCTCCAGAGAGCTCACATACAAGCTGTTCTGACCCTCACCCAAGCTAGAGGCCATTCAGGCCTCTTCCACTTAGTAGACCTGTTTGGCAGGCAATTAGATCTTTCCTATAAAAGCCTGAGAAAAAAAAAAACAATGCTCCTGCAACATCCTATGATGCAGAGGATTATCTAGTAGGAACGTAAGGAACTGGAGCCCTAGGTGGGCAAAGGCTAGTTATGAGATCCTATGCTGGAGAATAATGAGTGCTCTGAAAGGCAGCTAGGACTTTGTGGGGTGGGGCCAGCTGCCTCTGTGCAGGTAGGCAGCTGGTTGTAATGTCCTTGAGTCTTCAGATTGCAATTCCCTGAGCCTGTGTGCAAAGGTCCTGTCACATACCAGGTCTTGACACTGGCAGGAAGACATTGGAGAATACTCCTGCACTGCACACAGGCAAAATGTGCTCATCTTTTCCCAGCCATGCAAACTCCCCCCCTGCCTCCACACCTCCTTCTGCAGCTCACTAGCAAGGCTTGTTTGCTTAGGGGCAGTTGCTGTACACGCATTGTGTCTTGAGGACATAATGATCAGCTGGTAAATATGAAATGCCCTGAAGGCTGATGGCTTCTACTAGTGACTGTTAGGAAGTTCCTCTCCTTGTACAATTGTCATATTATTAATGCTGGATTCAAGAATGAGGCTGTCTTGACAGCTGCTTTGTACTGGCTGATAAAATTTCTGTCCTGCTCTCAAAGCCTGCCACCACAGTGAAGCACGATGGGACAAGCTCAGAGTTACTCTGACCCCTCTTCTCTGTTATATTTGCAGGTCTCCATGGCTGATCTGTGCTTGGTGCCTCAAGTTTTCAATGCTGAAAGGTAATTAAGGCTAAGCTTGAGGAGCTCTCCAAGGGCAGTGTAACTCCTTGTGCTGGGTTGTCAAAGCTTGCTTTCTGCAGCTCCTTGTTCCTTTTAGGAAACCAATCCTTTTCCTGCTTGCCCTGTCCAGTTATGGAGTCTTCTCTGCATGAATTTTCCTGTCATAAATACTGTCTCTTTTGGAAGCTCTTGAAAATAAGCAGCTGTGCTGTCTGCTCAGGGGCCCCTGTGGGAAACCTGATCTATGTCCTAGAACCTTTCCTCTTGCATTTATTTTTAAACCTACAAGAATGAACCTTTTATCTTAATGCAAATGTACCCAAGCCTGTGAGACTGTCCCATGCTGGGCAGGCACAGCACACTGTTCTGCCCTTCTGCTCACAGCTGTACTGGTTGTCCAATATATAGGACCTCACAAATTCTTTTCCTTTTGCAGATACAAAGTTGACATGAGTCCATATCCCACAATAACCAGAATAAACAAAGCTCTCCTGGAGCTAGAGGCATTCAAAGTAAGCCACCCATCCCGGCAGCCAGATACTCCTACAGAGCTGCAAGCTTGAAGCCCTTCTCATTAAATCAAGTAAGCTAGAGTGTCAAAGAGGACAACAGCTACAGCTTGAGTAGGACTTCAGTGCCAGCAGGAAGCCTTAGTACTAGTGGCTCACTTTCACCTGGGTAGGAAGAAGGACAGAGGACCTGGAAGTAGCCTGGATGACTTAGAAGAGCTATACCTGTGCTGAAAAGCTTGCAGCTACTTCCAACTACTTTTTTTTTTTTTTCTGTATGCTGTATCTCCATGAAGCAAATTAAAGCAGAAGCATCTGTAATTATCAGAAGTCCCCTTTGTATGGCTTTGGGTTGGGGAATGTGGCCACAAACAACTGTGAGGCATTAAGCCAGTTCTGGAGTCCCCACAGGGGCTGCTTCTTTCTGCTACCTACAGAAGGCACATCAGGGAACCAGTGTAGATGGCGTGCTACTAACTGCTTGTCCTTGCAGCTGCCTCAGAGCTGTGGCAGAATCACCACTGCTGTGGAGATGAACACTAAGAGCTAGTTTCTGACAGAAGACAGCTCAATCGCAGCCCTTGTTGGGTCCTGCAGGTGTTGAAAGAGCCAACAGTCAGCAACTCTGCCACCCCTTGCAATGACAAGAGGAATGCTGGGAATGCTGATTTGTACCTTTTCCTTGTGTCTAGCAGCAGTCTTACAGAATTTTATTAGAAAGATCTGTCTAGAGCAAAGCTGGGTGGTTGTGCCATAGTCAGGGAGACATAACCAGCTCACTCCCATATGCTGAAAACGATGGCATCCTCTTCCCATCCTCAGACAATGCTCTAGGTGTTTTCCTAGTCCTCAGTTGCAGACTATTACCAAAGGGAATCCCATATTCCCTCCAAACCAGAATCATGCCTGTACTTTCACTGTGAGACCTTACAAGCAGCAGGAGTAAATCCCATTCCACTCATCCTAAATGAAACCAAACATCTGAATCACCTTCAGAGCTGAAAGCACCCTGGAAATTCCAGCCCAGAAACCTGTAGGGCAAGAAGGGAAACCCAGAAGCTTTTGACTGTGTTCCTGGGCAGGCTTAGCTCCGATCCCGCTGAATGTTTTGGCACCCAAGCCAGGGATATGGGAGAGAATTTCTGCCAGTCTGACACTATATATCAGCTACCCTAAGAGAGCAATACCCATGGCCTTCACAAAGACTTCACAAACCTACAATCTCTTGTGCTAAGGTAGCATCACCTACATACAGATACTTGAACCACCACATTGCTTGGACACATTTATTGCCATCCATGTCTGTATTCAGGCTGAAGAGCCCTGTCTGTTCCAGGCTCATTCTGAGTATTGTGAATTATCCCAGGTCCAGCTGGATCTTGACTGTGCTGTTGTAAAAGGTCCCAGCACAGTTGGAGCCCCCAAAAACCAACACTGTGTGCAGGTTATGCTTCTCTTTGTTCTCCTGGTCCACATCCATCAGGTGGGTAGGAGTCAGATCAAGCAGCGTGTGGCCAGCTCGGGGAACAGAGCAGAGGTCATGGTGGATCACTGTGCTCCATGAAAGTGTATCTGAAGTAGAAAAGGGCTATCAATACTGAAAAGCCCATTCCTAGTGCAAAGGATGAAATAAATAGACCAGACTAGGTGTTCAGAAACACCACTGCAGCCCCACAGTCACCTTCAGCTATGGAAATGGGGAGGGAGAACCACTCACCTAGGTGAAAGACAAAGGCATCCTGCAGGGCTCCCCTGGCATTGCAGCCTCCACTGATCAGAACCTTCTGGTCTGACACAGCCAGAGCAGCATGAAAACTGTGACCAAAGCAAAGCTGAAAGGTGACTACAGCGAAACCTCCTGGGGTTGCCTCAGTCAGCAATGGGCAGGGGTGGGCAGACTTCAGCAGGAGGCTGGGGGCTTAAGCTGCAGAATGGAACTTAACTTCTCCTTCTCTTTGCCCTGACTTGGACTTGCTGACTAACCCTGAAAGAGCTGTTTGTTTGCTCCACAGGTCAGGCCATAACCAGGCCTGAAAGGCACATCATTAGCTCAGAAGGAGCTATCCAAACTCCTACGTTTTGCTCCATGGAGTGAGCTAGCAGGCCAGCTCGGCCTCAGTCTGTCTGAGGTCATTATTCTAGTGGGCAGTTGTGTCCCTTTAGGAACAGCATAGTCCTCATATGAATTTCTTCCTTTCTGTGTGTCTGTTGTACTTCAGGTACAGTGGAGACCCCACAGCAGGCAATACAGTTCACTAGCACACAGCAGAAAACTTCCTCTAGCTTGAAAGGAAGATTTTCAGGGGGGCTAAGGAGTCTCCCCTACACCCTATAGGCACCAACTAGGACAGCACAGGAATTACTGGTCCCACAGTGGAGAGGACATCCATTAGGTCTGATCACAAGCACCATTTAAACCTGGCTTCAAAGAGAAAGGACAGGAGAAGGTAGCTCCTGGGTCTGCAACAGGATCTTACCAACGTGCAGAAGGCTGTCCTGCGAGGAGGGGCACTGGTGTGTACTCCATGAAACCTGACAGCCAGGGGAAAGGCAGGTGAAAAGTCCAAAAAGCTCAGCCTCATAACTAGACAAAATCTTACACAGTCTGCCACATCATCAGCCTGCATTCTCTGTTATCCAGCTTCTTCCAAAAAAGTAGTTTCTCATTTTTTCCCACTCTTACCCCAGAAAGGGTTTGGGTTTTTTAACCCTAGTTTTGCCTGGTCCGGAGTTTTTATAACATTAATGCTATCTTCCCATTGAGTGTGCCTCACTCCTCAGTCCTTGCCTTAGAACAGACCTTCCCAAGGCATGCACCTGGCACAGGCTTTCTTACCCAGATCCAGGACATGCATGTCACTGAGGTAGAGAGAAGTCCTTCGGCCCCCAAAAATCAGCAGTTTGTTCTTCAGCAGAGTAGCTGAATGCCTGGGCAGAGAACAAGACAGTGAAAAAAATATCATCATTTTCTGAAAACACATTTCAGCCTTCCCTTTTGCTATTGGGCTGCCACAACTTCAGTTCACATCAGCCTCTGACTCCAGCCTCTGCAGGCCAAGGACGGAACCCCACCACGATTCATGACAGGAGGTACTGGGAGTCACATCACAACCCTACCACAGCTCCTTAAGAGGAGCAAATGATGGAGAAAAATCACCTGATATTTAGGAAGTTACATGGGAGTGCAAGGGAAGTTGAGCAGAGGTTTCCTGCTCTATTTTGGAAGGCTGGAATAAGGAGTGCTCTCACCCAAGCCTAGGGAGAGGCTTGTCCCCTTCTGAGATGGGCTGGTACCAAATTTCATGCTCTGGATTGAAGACATAGAGCATGTTGCTGCAGTGTCCAAATGCCAGTGATGCCTTTCTGGGCAAAGTCCCTCCAAAAACAAAGAGCTCTTTGCGGTAGATAGTTGCACTGTGATAGGTGAGCACTGGCATCCTCCCTTTAGCCTGGAAAAAGTTCATCATACATTTGTTAGGAGAAGTGCATTATTGGCTGCATGGCCCATATGAAGGGGCCCACATCATCCAGTCAGTTCAACAAGTCTCAACTTTCACTTTATTGGCTCCCCAGCCAAATCTTTGCTACATGGGCAGACAGTACTTTCTTTGTGTACTCTGCCCCACCAGAGAAGTAAGTCAACCTCCTACCCTAGCTTCCTCAGAACAAGACAGAGAACAGAAAGATTTCATCCAGGCTTATTCTGTAAAAGCTGTTTCATGACTTAGCCAGGAAAGAGACAAGTAGTCCCTTGCTGACCAGGCCCTCTGCAAGGATATGACAGGCAAATGAAGAGTTCAGGGATCTGTGCTCAGAGCAGTCCTTGATTGGAGAAGGCCAGCTCTTGACCTCAGCATTCAGTGCAGCTCTCAACAGCAGTAGGTAACATGAGAAGCCATTGCCCTCTGCCACTTGTAGAGCACCTCCCACCCACAACCTCAGTCAAACACAGCTCTTTGCAGCAACCATTGCTTCACCTTGCTTCATTCCTTGTAGGCAAAGCCCCTGGTTTCTGGCAAGCTTGTGTGGTCTTTCAACATAGACTTCTTATGTCTGTCAACCCCAACTAAGCAGCTCAGACAGCCTGCAGCAACAGTGGACCAGGACTACTGGAGTAAGGATACAGGCACATCAATTGCTACATTCAGTCAGGAGCTGACACCCCTCCTGTGCTTTAGTCTTGTAAGAGTTCCAGTACTTACAGCCACAAGGAGCCATTTCCAGGTGACTGTGTCCAGAATGTAGATCCTGCTGTAGTCTTTGTCCTCCCTTATACCCCCAAAGATGTAGATACGCTTGGTCTCTGGGTCGTAGGTAGCTGTGTGGCCATGCAAGCACAATGGCATGGCATTTTGTAGCTGGAAACCCACTGGAAGCCACATGTCATTGTCTGTGGGGGAAACACCAGAGAGATGGTGTGGGAGTTCAAAGATGCTCTTGATTTCTTCAGATTTAAAGAATATGTCACAAAGTCTTTACTCAAGACCTTGCCCCCTTCATCTCCTCCTCTCCTTTCATACAGGGCTACAGTGGACTAATACAGAAATTAGGTGGGGAATAAGAAGGTGGAAGAGAGGACTGGTGAGGTGCAGAAAGCTGCAGGGCACTGTATCTCACACTTCTCCACCAGCCATCACAGACTGCAGAGGGCACTGTTGCTTTTACCTCTTAAAACTCACCCAGCTCCTTCCAGAACTTACACCTTAGCAGCTGGAAGGCACTCAGGTACCACCCCACAGCTTGTCACAGCACCCTGTGCAGTCAGCTCAGCCTGGAGACCACGCTAGGAGATGCAACACCTTTGCTGTCCCCTCTCTGTGCACCTGAGTACCCTCTCCCACCTGCGTGAGCTGTCCTTGAGTCCCACTGCTCCCGTGGCCTCTGGTAGCCCTAAAGTCCTCACCGATTTCTAGCTTCCAGAGGGCATCCTTGCACGACTGCTGATTGACACCTTGCCCACCAATCAGAACAGCTGTCCCCAGGTCACTGAGGCACATGGCATGGCACCACCGTGGGCTGGGACTGCCTGGGGAGGGGAGAGCACAGGGCTGGAAGTAGTCAGGTGAGACACCCCCACTCCCTTCCCTGCAAGAAGCCAAGACAGCAGAAGGCTCAGAGAGGAGAAAGGGGAAGGTAAGAGCTCCAGGTCCTTTCCCTCTAGGGTGGCAAGAGACATAGCTCCCTGAGGAAGATTTTCTGTTGGCTTTGGGGAATAACTGCTGCACTAGGAGAGACATCGGTAGCAGAGGGAGCCAGCAGAGTCTGGTTGGATTAACAGGCTGCCCCTTCACACAGGTCTGGATGTCCCCTGTCAATTACCCGCCCCCAGAAGGGATATCCCAATTTGCTATCCTTTTGCTACTCCTTGTGAGGGACAGCAGCCCAAGTTCAGTTGTCAGTGCCTAAGATACAACCACAGGAAGCCTGGGGCTGCTTTCAGAGATATTCCTCATACTGCTCTGGTTCCTGCTCCTTTCTTCTCCCAGGCCTCTGCAATTGCTTGAGCAAGCGACAAAATACTTTTTTAACCAACACCTATTCCACACCTTACCCTTTGCCTCAAAGGGCTATGCACCCAGAGGTGTGCCTGAGGTGCAGAGGACCTACAGAAGCATACTGGAGAGCCCAACAGTATTGCAAGCACCTACGCTGAGGGCAACTGCATGGAGAAGAACAGTGTATACACACAGCCTACTTGTTATTCTTGACCACTGGAGAGGTGAAGGATGACGCATGAGAAGCTGGTGACACTAGAGGGAATGACATCACCGAGTGGCTGAATAGACAAATCAGGGTGTAGGAACCAGAACCTCACCTTGTAACTCCTTCACTGCCAGATCTGCAGAGGAAACAACAGAGATGGCCCCATAACGAAAGCAGCCAGAAGACAGACCCTGCAAAGTGCTCAGCTCCAAGGTTTAAAAGCCCTTTGGCCTTCCTTTCTCCAACCCCCAGCACAAAGCTACCTCACTGCAACAAACAAGGTGCAAGACCAAGAATCCTAAAGAAGGTCTCATCAGAAGAAATGCAGAAGACGGGCAGCAGCAGGGCACACTCCCTTGGACTGCCATCATGCTGTCACCATTGCATTTTACCCCTCTGATGGAAGCTTATATCCCCCTTCTCACACTGCCTACAGCAGAGCTAAGTTTATGATGGAGCTATATTGCCTTTGTGAGAAGCAAGCCAAGCCCCAGGAAGTCACTTCACATGGGCACCACTGAGTTATTTTAAAAATTTACACACAATCTTGGTCACATCCTGGAGCTGACTTGGAATTCAGACTCCAGAAGCTAAAAGGTTTGTTCCCTTGGCAGCTACCTTCTCAACACTGAAAACTCAGTACAATTATATTAATTATACATGTATTCCTTTTCATATTCTCTTAAATAACAACAACCAGTGTCTTCCACCGACCTAGTCTTACTAGGAGAACAGACTAATGGAGAAGTTACAGAATGTCACACCTCTTTGTGCTTCAATTTACTCTTTTGTAAATCAAGGCTAAAGATACTTGCCTTCATTGCTAAAGCACCTTTACTCATATGGAGACAGGCATATTATGTTATGGTACAGGATGTTGGCACTAAGAATATCCCATGTTCTATTTCTGGCCTTTTGCCAACAGGCAAAAAAAAACATCAAGCAGTTTATCCAGGACTAAGGAGTAGTTCTCAGTATTTTAAAAGCCAAGACAGATAAGCCCATCTTGCTTTGGAGTTCTAAAGAGAAATGGACTGGGAAATGGTTGCCCAGCAACACTGACAGATCATTCAGACAAGACAGCTAAAATGAACCTGGAAGTTGCCAGTTACCTTCTTCATCGAGATCTCTCTCAGATGCTGTGGGTTCAAATAAAACTTTCCTGGGCTTCTTGTGGTGGACAGAACCCTTTCTCCAGGCCTCACTGGGTTCCACCTTGTCAGATGGTGGCTTCAGGGCACAAACTACTGCCAGGGTCCTCAGTGGTGAGCAGACATCCCTCCTCCCAGGCCTGGATGCTCTAGCAGTCACCTCTGAGTTCCGAGTCTTAACCTGTGACAAAGTACCCAGTCAAATCAGCCCTGAGGAAAAATACCTGAGGCTACTGTCACTTGTCTATTACTGGCCAGAGATTAGTTTCTCGTGGTGGCTGTTTTCAGGCTTGTCTGCCCATTGAGTCTTGGGGGCCAGCACGCCAACAGTATCAGCCACCAAATACATGCTGAGCAATGCAGCTTCCTGTTGCTGTATGTCCAGCAGCTCACTTCCAGACTGCTGGCTGCAAGGGACACAGGTAGCACAAGGCACCTGAAAAGGCAGAAAGGCCACCTCTGCTAGGAGTAGCGAGGCTGATCCATCGGCCCACCAAGGGCTGTTAAATTCATCCCTTCCAAAGGCACTGCAATGGAGAGTACCGCTTTCTGTAGCACAAGTAAACCCTCAGCTCCAGACCTGCCTAGCCAGGTCTCCACTAAGATATCAATGACAAATGTTTCTGCTAGACATCAACTGAGAAGCTACAAGTGAGGGAGAAGATACTAAGAAGAAAGTGAAATAATGAGAGGAAGGCTCCAGGATACACGTACCACGGTAGGCTCCTTCAGGTCCTGTCCAGGGGGCGTATTATCTGCTGGGAGCACTGGTGACTGGGTGGTCTCTGGGACAGTGAAGGGGTGTGTGGGTGTACTGCTGGAAACACCTCGGAGCAGCTGCAGAAGAAACAGTGACAGTGAGAATAAAGGGACATGCCAAGTGTGCTGGCCTACATCCACAAAGGGTGAGCAAAAGGATGTCTGGCAGGGGACAGATTCCCTGCAAGGGAATAGCCCAGCTTTTGTCTCCAGCACCACCACAATAAAGACAGAAAGGCAAAGCCAGGTAGTGAGATATGCTAAACTCAAGGGCTTCAGCACAAGGTAAAACAACTGTGTAAACAGCACACACCCAGAAGATAGTGCAACTATAAGTGGATGGCTCTCTGCTACCTTTGCCTGTGACACACAAGGTGTTTTGGCAAAGCTGTGTTTAGGGAATAGGCCTGGAGCATCACAGAGGGTTTAGGCTCAGCAGATGTGCATTAACAGATCCACATGAGGCAGCCCTGCCTTAGAGTAGCAAAGGGAAGGAAAAGAAAGGAGGGGAGGCAAAGTTCTGTAGCTCAGAAGTGACAACATTTGGGACTCAGGGCAGGAAGAGAAGAGGATGGCGGTTCTTTTACCTGTCCATTGACAGTCAGGACAAGCTTCACAGGGTTGCCTTTGTCCATCTCTCTCAATGAGGCCATGAAAATATCTGTCCTCCAGGCACCTTCCCACACCAACGATCTGCACAGAGAACCATGAGTTTTTAGCTCACAAGTGCCACTGAGCAGGGAAAAATTTCTGCTCCCACACTAGCTGGTAACACCAAGACCCAGCACCGAAAGCAGCCAAAAGGAAGCTGAAAGCTTCACTAGAGAGAAGCACAATGGTGGAGGACCAGCAGGCCTGAGCAGCTTTAGGACAACGCCAGTAGAACCGAGCAGCACCACAGAGCAGACAGCTTCCCCAGGACCCCCCTCCTGACCTGTGGGCAGGATCCAGCGTGCCGACTCGCTGCGGGGCGACACCCGGGGACACCACATCCACCGCGACGCTTGTGTCCGGAG